CTGACAGGGGCAAGCCGCCCCTCTCCTCCAGCATAAGTATCACCCTACACATCTCCGATGTCAACGACAACGCCCCAGTTTTCCAACAGTCCGCCTACCTGGTCCATGTGCCAGAAAACAATCAGCCTGGAGCCTCCATCGCTCGAGTCAGTGCCTCCGACCCGGACTTGGGTCCCAACGGCAGCGTCTCTTACGCAATCGTGGCCAGTGACCTGGAGCCGCGGGTGCTGTCGTCCTACGTGTCCGTGAGCGCACAGAGCGGGGTGGTGTTCGCGCAGCGCGCCTTCGACCACGAGCAGCTGCGCGCCTTCGAGCTGACGCTGCAGGCCCGCGACCAGGGCTCGCCCGCGCTCAGCGCCAACGTGAGCCTGCGCGTGTTGGTGGGCGACCGCAACGACAACGCGCCGCGGGTGCTGTACCCGGCGCTGGGGCCCGACGGCTCGGCGCTCTTCGACACGGTGCCGCGCGCGGCGGAGCCCGGCTACCTGGTCACCAAGGTGGTGGCAGTGGACGCAGACTCGGGACACAACGCCTGGCTGTCCTACCACGTGCTGCAAGCCAGCGAGCCCGGGCTCTTCAGCCTGGGACTGCGCACTGGCGAGGTGCGTACGGTGCGTGCCTTGGGCGACAGGGACGCGGCCCGACATCGCCTGCTGGTCGCTGTGCGTGACGGTGGACAGCCACCTCTCTCGGCCACCACCACGCTGCACCTGGTCTTCGCGGACAGCTTGCAGGAGGTACTGCCAGAGCTCAGTGACCTCCCTGTGCCCTCGGACCCCCAGGCGGAGCTGCAGTTTTACCTGGTGGTGGACTTGGCCTTGATCTCCGTGCTCTTCCTCCTCGCGGTGATTCTGGCCATCGCCCTGCGCCTGAGACACTCCTCCAGCCCCGCTGCCTGGGGCTGCTTTCAGCCTGGTCTCTGCTCTAGGACTGTACCTCGGGTTCTACCCAACTACAGTGAAGGGACTTTGCCTTATTCCTACAATTTATGTGCTGCCTCACATTCCTCGAAGACCGAATTTAAATTCCTCAATATAAAGCCTGAAAATGCTCCACCACAAGATATTTTATGTGAAGAAGTGTCTTGGTTTGAAAGTACCAGTAATGAAACCCCCAACATGATTTCTAACTCAGTCAATTTGCAAGAGGTGAGTTTCTTCAAGCCTTTCCTCCCATAAATATAATTAGGCTTCAACTGATTAGAGATTTAAAAGTATACACATTAAATATGCCCTGATTTCATTGTGTTTTATAGACTTTTCTGAGCATGTACTAAGGGTCTAGGAAATTCTTTATAGGCCTATTTGTGTTGCAATTGTTCTTTCATAGAAAGTCTCCTTGTAATGGTCCTGAAATTTTTGTTAATACTAAGACAATGTAATCAGACATTTTAAATACAATAGTGTCTTCAACAGTCATTGTGAGACATATTTTCTATCTAGAATTAAACATAAATCTAGACAATCAAGTGGTTTACTTAGTTCCAATGCAGTCAGCCCTAAAAGATATTATAAATAACATATAATAAATATATTAAGATATATTTAGTGCAGCCTATATATTTTCACTTCCTTTGTGTGTTTTTAAAAGTATACGCATATGTTGTCTACATCAGGGCATTTCTTAAATCTATGTGTTAATAAAAACAGATAATGGCATCTGAAAATGGCAACTTTCGTAAGTGGCACTGTAGTGGATTGATTCAAAACGTATGTGTGGTTGTTGATGCCCTTATTGAAAATGGGAGAAATGTAAATGACGGTTGAGTGTGGTAACTTAAGATTTATAGAAAAGTGTAATATTACAAGTATTTTTGTTCTCCAAGGTCCTAAGAGATATTTTTACAAAATAAGTGGTAAATTCCAGGGAATATTTTTAATTATTCAAAAAATCTCTTATTCTTCCAAATGCTTCACTCTCTTGGGGAGAGAAATATTATGAGTATTATCTCTGCTGATTTAGCAGAAACAAAATCCTCTGTATGATAGTTTCACAAAATGGTGCATTATTAAGTTAGGACTCTAAGCGTCGCTGTTCACTCACCCCGGCCAGAAAATCAATGGGAACTCGAGTTATATCCTCCAGCCACAGAGCAGATCAGACACGAAAGCTGCACAGAAATTCTCACCTGCAACACTTCGCATCTGGTCTCTGCTTGTTTAAAGACCTTTACCTCTAATTCTAGGAAGCACGTAAGTGGTGCAGATCTATTATTCCTACTCATAATCCCAGAGAAGCCCATAACAAGCCAGTAATGGCTGCTCTGCAGAGGCGCCGGCACCGCAGCAAGCTGCTCCTGCCCTTCATTCTCCTGGTTACGCTGTGGGGGGCCGGGGCCAGGCAGATCCGCTACTCTATCCCGGAGGAGCTGGAGAAAGGTTCCTTTGTGGGCAACATCGCTAAGGATCTAGGGCTGGAGGCTTGGGAGCTGGCGGAGCGCGGAGTCCGCATCGTCTCCAGAGGTAGGACGCAGCTTTTCTCTCTGAACCCGCGGAGCGGCAGCTTGGTCACCGCGGGCAGGATTGACCGGGAGGAGCTCTGCGCTCAGAGCGCGCGGTGTCTGGTGAGTTTTAACGTCCTGATCGAAGATAAACTGAATCTTTATCCTGTGGAAGTGGAAATAGTGGACGTTAATGACAATACACCTCGGTTCTTAAGGGAAAATTTGGAAGTGAAAATTCTAGAAAACGCAGCTCCTTCTTCTCATTTTCCACTAATGGAAGTCTATGACCCTGATGTGGGAATGAACTCTGTTCAGGGCTTCAAGCTCAGCAGTAATAGTCACTTCTCAGTGGAGATGCAAAGCGAAGTCCATGGGCTCAAGTACCCGGAGCTGGTTCTGGAGCGCACCCTGGACCGGGAGGGAGAAGCCTTTCATCACCTAGTACTCACTGCCATGGATGGCGGTGACCCTGTCCGCTCAGGGGTGGCAAAAATTCTGGTAACTGTCCTAGATGCGAATGACAATGCTCCGGTGTTTACGCAGCCTGTATACCATGTGAATGTTCCTGAGAATTTGCCAGTCGGTACACCGCTGTTGTTGGTAAATGCCACCGACCGGGATGAAGGAGTTCACGCAGAAGTAACGTATTCCTTCGTGAAGATCACGGAAAAGATCTCACAGATTTTCTGTTTGAATGTTTTGACTGGAGAAATTTCAACTTCTGCAAATCTAGACTATGAGGACTCAAGCTTTTATGAACTGGATGTTGAAGCCCGGGATCAGCCAGGTCTTAGAGACAGAGCAAAAGTCTTAATAACTGTCTTGGATGTGAATGACAATGTGCCGGAAGTGGTCGTTACATCTGGAAGCAGAACGATTGCTGAAAGTGCGCCTCCAGGAACAGTAATCGCTCTTTTTCAGGTGTATGATCGAGACTCTGGACCGAATGGTCTAGTAATGTGTTCCATCTCAGAAAGTCTCCCATTTGAACTGGAAAAATCAGTAGACAATTATTATCGATTAGTGACAAATACAGCCCTCGACCGGGAACAGGTATCTTTGTACAACATCACTGTGACAGCCACAGACAAAGGAATGCCGCCTCTGTCTACAGAAACGCTCATCTCCGTAAACGTGGCAGACACCAACGACAACCCACCCACCTTCTCCCACATCTCCTACTCTGTCTACATCCCTGAGAACAACCCCAGAGGTGCTTCCATCTTCTCCGTGAATGCACTGGACCCTGACAGCGACGAGAACGCCCAAATCACCTACTCCCTGGCTGAAGACACCCTCCAGGCGGCGCCTCTGTCCTCCTATATCTCCATCAATTCCAACACCGGTATTCTGTATGCGCTGCGCTCCTTTGATTATGAGCAGTTTAGAGACCTGCAGCTGTGGGTGACAGCCAGCGACAGCGGGGACCCTCCACTCAGCAGCAACGTATCGCTGAACCTGTTCGTGATGGACCAGAATGACAATGTGCCTGAGATCCTGTACCCCACCTTCCCAGCTGATGGCTCCACTGGTGTGGAGCTTGCGCCCCGCTCAGCAGAGCCTGGCTACCTCGTGACCAAGGTGGTGGCAGTGGACAGAGACTCAGGCCAGAACGCCTGGCTGTCCTACCGCCTGCTCAAGGCCAGCGAGCCTGGGCTCTTCGTGGTGGGGCTGCACACGGGCGAGGTGCGCACAGCGCGGGCCCTGCTGGACAGAGATGCGCTCAAGCAGAGTCTCGTGGTGGCCGTCCAGGACCACGGCCAACCCCCTCTCTCGGCCACCGTTACGCTCACCGTGGCTGTGGCTGACAGCATCCCAGACGTCCTGGCCGATCTGGACAGTCTTGAGGTCCCACGCGACTCTGTTGCTTCAGGTCTCACACTTTACCTGGTGGTGGCGGTGGCAGCCGTCTCCTGCGTCTTCCTCACCTTCGTCATGATGCTGCTGGCGCTCAGGCTACGGCGCTGGCACAAGTCACGCTTACTCCAGGCTGCGGGAGACAGATTTGTGGGCGTAACAGCCTCTCACTTTGTGGGCGTGGACAGGATGCCAGCTTTCCTGCAGACCAATTCCCATGAGGTCTGCCTCACCGGGGACTCAGGGAAGAGCCACATCATCTTCCCTCAACCCAACTATGCTGACACACTCATCAGCCAAGAGGACTGTGAGAAAAGCGAGCCTCTTTTGATACAGGAATATTTAGGTTTTTGTGAAGAGGAAGACTCCCTTGTTCAGGTGAGGTTATTGCTATCACTGGTTTTATTTTAATAGGAAATTTTATTTTATTTTATCTTGTTTTATTGATTATGCAAACTCATGGGGTACAATGCTGACCGTCACCACCTGTGCCCAGGATGTGATAGTCAGATCAATAGTATCAGGATGGCCACTACCACAATTGCGATTATTCCCCACATCCCCCACCCAATGTATCCCTGACCTCTCTCCCCCACCACAACCCTATGTAAGCTCTCTCCCTCTGCGAGTCTAATGCCCCAGTTAACAGGAAACTTTAAAGCTCTCTTCGATCAGTGCTTAGTTGTCTTAATCGTTTACAGTGAATCATGTAGTTCTAATATTTTTCTTTTATATCAATCAATTTCTCTTAAATCTTAGTTTTCTCGAATTTCAGGAGAAAAATTGTTGAAGCATTTAAGGCTTTAATAATCTTCAGTTGTATTAACTTCCTGTACAAGCAGCTGGGGAAGGGTGCATTTAGAATGGAAATCAATCGGTTTTCTTGAGTGTGGCTTAGACCAAGAGGAGGAAGATATGTCTTTAGTTGGGTATTCACTCTTTGGTTGACAAATAGGGAGTTTCTTGGACTAAATCATTACTGAGCCAGAACCGGAGTCAGGGTTTTCTCTTTGCTGAAGAATTCTGATAATTTCCATTTAGTCCTGTGGTCCTTAAGCAGAAATCATGATTGTGTTGTTCAAACAATGTTTTTTTGTTAGCAGTAAGTTCATAAAATCATTCTCCATAGAAAGCAATATCTAAAAAGACCTTAAGCATCGCTTTATACCTTTTAATTTCACTCCATACAACAGCATTATTAAAGGTTCAGTGCCAGGGTCTGTACTAAGGGCTTTAATATACACAGGAAAAGTATAAGTAACCATTTCTGAAATTTAGTACTAAACTGCAAATTGCACAGGCAAGATATAAACATACCAAATATTATGTAACAGAGAATTTTAAAGCAATGGTTCTTATGCAATGATGTTATATTATTTTATTTTCAACTGAGATTGTCCACAGACAGTTCATCTGCCAGGCTATTATCAGAGATGATATTTGTAAGAGCTAGCATCTATTGAACACTTACTATTTGCCAGACACTTTTCTTATATCTTCCAGTCCTTACAACAGCTTTACAATAGAGTTATTGCTTTCTCCTTGAAGATGAAGAAATCGAGGCTCAGTGAGGTTAAACAATTTGATCAAGAAAAAAGTCTTACTAATGCATGCCCTAGATTTACTTTACCTTTCTCCTGTTGGCTATTTGTGCCTTGGATTGCATACATTTCATTTCTTAGTTTTGTTTTGTTTTTTTGTTATTTTTTCCTATTATATGACATTTATGAGATCCTTTCTTTTTCTAATGTAAGAAAAAAACTAAATTGCAGTTTCTGTTACAGAAGATCAAGATCTTGGTGTTTTTCTCAATGTTACTTAATAATTGTAAATGTTTTCTGAAACAATGGAGATTCATGAGAGATATTTTCCTTATTACTTGGGAATCAAAATATATTTATTTTTAAAAGATAAGAGTCATTGATGCCTATAGCAGGGAACACCTTATCTTTGGTGTTAAAAGACCTGAGTAATATTCCTGGGATTACCTGTCATATATTGGGGGCAGTCACAATCTCTATAGCCTTCAGATTAAAATTAAAATTTCAAAGACTTACATTATCTACTTCACTCAAATGCTGGGAAAATAAAATAAAATTTCATAAAATTTTTTTCAAACTATAAAACAGTACAGTGAACAGGAATTTGTTGACATTACCATTACTATAATTACTGGTTTACTAACAAATAAATGTAAGCTCCTGATGCTGTGTGCCTATTACAATGTCATCTCACACTGTGTGCTTGATAGTATTTAAGAATGAAAATGAACTTTTAAATATGCTCAATAGTGTCCTCTTATAGGAAATATCTCTAATAATAAAGGATTAATAGTGTTCAAATAAAAATTTAAATAATTTGCCAGTCTTTACCCAGATAAAATAAAGCTTCTGTCATATAAGAACTCTTTATTCAAATGTTTGAAGGAAAGAGGTTATCATTTAGAAGAATCATTAGCCTTATTCATGATGACCCAATGGTTCAAATGAAATTATGACTTGTGCACAGCAAACAGCAAAGTTTGTTCTAACAGGAAATAGATCAATTAGGAGGTAGGAGATTCTATTACTGGGACTCTTCAAAATTAAGTTGCTGGCCCTGGAATTAATGGAGTACAGGTAATTCTATAATTTGATGAGTTGTTGAAGTACATTATGGCCAAGATGGGGGTTTTGTTTGTTTGGTTGGTTGGTTTTTTCCCCAGTCTTGAATTGGAGGATTTTACAATCTGATATTAGAGTGGATTAGCCACTTGTTTGTCAATTTCCTATGCATATGTAATAAAACAAATAATTGAGAAAATACCTTAAAAATAAATGAGAACCTCCTTCATAATTCGACTGTCAGTCTCCATAAAGATAACATTCAGTTGATGTTTTTAAAAATAAGGTGTTAAGAGTAATGCATTTTTTCTAAATTGATCTTGTAATATTTACATTTCAGCAATTATTATAGAATTATTTATTTCAGGTTTACAAATGTGTATGGCTAACCAAGAGATTCCAATCATACATATTTTTAAATCTAATTTGTTGGGACATTCATGATATAATTCTTTGGTGGTTTTAACCAGAATTTAATAGTAAATAACAATTTTAAACAACTTGAATCAGCGTATCAGTTATGTGAGTCAAATGGCCTCTTACACAAATAGGTATGATGATTTGCTTCATATACTATGAGAGTGTGAATGTTATTTTACTATATCACCAATTTGGGGCATTTAAACTACATCCTGAACACGTATTGTTATAGGCAAAGCTCGCTAACTGGGTTTCATGAATAGTAGGCTGGTTTTATTTTATTCTATTATCTGAGTTACCTATGACCATTTCACTTAAACAAATAGAATATTTCACTGATAGAAAATTTTTCAGATTCTATTCTCACAATAGCCACTTATTCTTGTGGACTGACCAACTGTTAAACATCCTGGCAATCACAGAATTTGCTAACATCTGACTAAATGAGACTCTTTGATCTACCCACCATACAGATCATTAATAATAAGGTAGCCTGTCTGATATTTTGAATATATACTGCATTTTGAAGCATCAGGAAAAAAAACCTATAAAATTATTGGGCTATTTCATCATCTGTGAAAAACATCCATTTGTGTAACTGCATCTTTGCTCAGGAATGAAAATCTAGACAGAACTCCAAACAAATGGTCCTTTGATAGGAAAAAGCTTCATTTAAAAAAAGAGAGAAGATAATTAACTTGATACTTGGGAAGTCAAGACTTTCCATGTAATTTTTCAATGTGAGTAAACAAATGAAGGTTGGAATGGTCCTTTGATAGGAAAAAGCTTCATTTAAAAAAAGAGAGAAGATAATTAACTTGATACCTGGGAAGTCAAGACTTTCCATGTAATTTTTCAATGTGAGTAAACAAATGAAGGTTGAAATTCTTCCCAATAACTCAACCAGTAATAACATACTCCCTTTTTCAAAGTTTCACTATAATTTTAGTGAAACTATAGTTTCACTATAATATTAGTTAAGTTTGATATAGTAATCTTCTGTTAGATTTTATTAAATATATCTTGATGGTCTAGTAGAGATCTTTAATATCTAATTTTACATTGTGGAATAACTTAGAAAACTTGAGTACTAGAGATAATGAAGCCATTTACTCTCTAAAGTATGCATTATGTTCAAAGTAGTCTATAATATCATTTAACTAGAACTTATTTATTTAGCTCCAAAGAAGGTACTGAGAAGTAATAAGTCAGGGCTGGCTGGTTAGCTCAGTTGGTTAGAGTACAGCCTGACAACACCAAGGTCATGGGTTCAGATCCCCATACCCACCAGCTGCAAAAAAAAAAGGGGGGGGGAATGTTAGGTAAGACTTTTAAAAAACAGTAGAATTAAGAGACAAATGTGAGATGAAACTATGAATTTTGAGGCATCAGGTTGAAAAGGATCAAGACATTGAGAGCCATAACCTCCAGGCATGAAAGTGTATTTGAACTTGTCTACAAGTACTTATGATGTTTAGTAACCATACACTTTGCTTGCATCAGAAATTTCAGAATTACTAAACAAATAGAATTTAACTTCTGCTTATGGAATTTATCTATAATATCTATCTGGATTTCTTTAAAGAAAAATTTCTTTTATCTACTTGGCGAAAGCAAGCATGACTATGAATTATTTTGATAGATTGCAACAGCATCTCATTCAAAGTATTTCCTATGTTCTGGAGGAATGCTATCAGACAGCAGAAATAGATTACTTAGTTGGACACCTCAGGGTTACTTCTGATTCCTCCTCCTGGTTCTTCTAGCTACTCCTCTAGGATTTAAAATAATTTACAGAGCAAGGATATTTCTTGCCTGGTGACACTCTTTCCAGAGCAGGTCACTCTCTTTTCTTCTACAACTGTGTAGAAGGAACTTTTATTTCTGACAGCTGAGGGTAGCTTTGGATCCATCAACAACTGAGTTTTACTTCATCAACATCAGTGGAGAAATTAGTACCTCTAAGGATCCTCTTAGGACAGTCATGCACATTGCTCAAATGCTGTCTAGACACCCTCCTGTTCTCATTTATTCTAGAATAGGGCAGAATAAACATTTGAATTGCACAATGAAAAGAAGTAATCAAACCAACATCCACTTTCTTATGAATTCACAGCCCAGTAGGATCTCTGCAAACTTCTGCCGTCTGTAAAAAATAGGTTGCTTGTATAGCTGATTGTTGCTGCCTGGCTTCTCACCTCATCTCTAACAATATTTTTTGAGCACAAAGCATCTGTGAAGGCCAACAATGATTCTCCCCTTTTCTCTCTTTTATTACAAGACTGGGAGTGAAAATATTTGGATTACTGCATTTGTTCTACTACTATATAATCAGGAACAAGGCAATTACCTCCCATTTTTTTAAAATTGTTAAAGTGTTAGACTAAACCATCTCTAAGCCTCCATAAAATGAAAATTTTGTTAAAATACATCCCTAAGGTCTTGCCAGTGAGCTCAGTTGGTTGGAGCATGGTGGTATAACACAAAGGTTAAGGTTTTGTTTAGATCCCGGTACTGGCCAATCACAAAAATAAGTAAAATACCCCGAAATAAAAATACATCTCTATAGTATTAAGAAAATTTTGACTCTCTGGGTCTTGAATGATGGTGTCTAGAACATAGTATGTGTTCAATAACGTTATTGAATTAATTAAAATTTGTATACACTGATGAAAAATGTGCTATGTAACACTTTTCATATATAATTTTAAAAGTGTATCTTTTTACCTGCAATGGCTGATTTTTCTTTATGTGCAATAAAGCGTGAGTCAGCGCCCAAAAGACTCACTTCAAAGTTGCAATGCAAAACAGAAATTTTTAAAAATTATCTGAAATTACTGAACACCCACCCAGGAACACTGTTGCATTAATTCGGTGTCCTAAAATGTATTTTTGCAATAAAGCGTGAGTCAGCGCCCAAAAGACTCACTTCAAAGTTGCAATGCAAAACAGAAAATTTTAAAAATTATCTGAAATTACTGAACACCCACCCAGGAACACTGTTGCATTAATTCGGTGTCCTAAAATGTATTTGTAAAGTATATCAGAGATATCTGGCGTGAAGAATTTAACTAAACAGGGAAATTTTGAAGGCTGAAACGATTTTCTGTCAAATGAGTTCATTTTGCTTCGGTATGGTGCAGTAACTTAGTAAGGACTCTGAGTGCCGCTGTTCACTCACCGGGGGGAAATGGTGCAAGCGATCCGCCAGAGCCACCGAGTTTTACAGCACAGATGAACGACAGATTGAGACAAGCTCTGTTCCAAGCTGCGCCAAACTCAAGCCGCTATCCTGCTGGATTCTGGGGCTCCCCTTCCGAATTCAGAGGGCTCCACGTGGACACACTGGCATTCGGAAGCACAGTCTGGGACGGCTCAGTGTTTAGGAAGACCAGCACGACAACAATGGCCTCTCAGCAGAGGGGCGGGAACTACAGAGGATTCTTCCTGCTCTCCATCCTCCTGGGGACCCGATGGGAAGCCTGGGCAGGACACATTCTCTACTCCGTGTCGGAGGAGACAGACAAAGGATCTTTTGTGGGTAATATCGCCAAGGACCTGGGACTGGAACCCCGGGATCTGGCGGAGCGCGGAGTCCGCATCGTCTCCAGAGGTAGGACGCAGCTCTTCTCTCTGAACCCACGAAGTGGCATCTTGGTCACAGCAGACAGGATAGACCGGGAGGAGCTCTGCGCTCAGAGCACGCGGTGTCTGGTGAGCTTTAACATCTTGATGGAAGATAAAATGAATCTTTACCCCGTAGAAGTGGAAATAATAGATGTTAATGATAATGCTCCTAGATTCTTGACCGAAGAAATAAACGTGAAAATAATGGAGAATACAGCTCCTGGGGTGAGGTTTCCGTTAAACGAGGCTGGGGATCCAGATGTTGGCACGAACTCCCTCCAGAGATACCAGCTCAGCCCCAATCGCCACTTCTCCCTGGTTGTGCAAAGTGGAGATGATGGAAATAAATACCCGGAACTGGTGCTGGAGCGGGAGCTGGACAGGGAGGAAGAGGTGGTTCACCACCTGGTCCTCACAGCCTCTGACGGCGGCGACCCACCCCGATCTGGCACCGCCCACATCCAAGTAACAGTGGTGGATGTGAATGACAACGCGCCTGTCTTCTCTCTGCCTCAGTACCAAGTGACTGTCCCCGAGAACGTGCCGGTGGGCACAAGACTGCTCACAGTAAATGCTATCGACCTGGATGAAGGAGTCAATGGGGAAATCACATATTCTTTTAGGAAAATAACTCCAAAACTTCTACAGATATTCCACTTGAACTCCCTTACAGGAGAATTGTCAATTTTAGAAGGCTTAGATTACGAAGAATCCGGGTTCTATGAAATGGAAGTTCAGGCTCAGGACAGTCCTGGTAGTCTGACAAAGGCAAAAGTACTGATCACAATTTTAGATGTGAATGACAATGTTCCAGAAGTGACTGTAACGTCTGTAAGCCGCTCCATCCCTGAAGACACACCTCCTGGCACAGTAATTGCTCTTTTCTACCTCCAAGACAGAGATTCTGGGAAGAATGGTGAAGTGACCTGCACTATTCCAGAAAATCTGCCTTTTAAATTAGAAAGATCAATAGATAATTACTATAGATTGGTCACAGAGAAAAACCTGGACAGAGAAAAACTCTCTGTGTATAACATCACACTGAAAGCCACAGATGGCGGTACTCCTCCCCTTTCCACAGAAACTCACATCTCCGTGCACGTGGCGGACACCAACGACAACCCACCCACCTTCCCCCACTCCTCCTATTCCATCTATATCCCTGAGAACAACCTCAGAGGCGCCTCCATCTTCTCGGTGACTGCAGAGGACCCTGACAGCGATGAGAATGCCCAGGTCACTTATTCCTTGTCTGAGGACACCGTCCAGGGGGTGCCGGTGTCTTCCTATGTCTCCATCAACTCCGACACTGGCATCTTGTATGCATTGCGCTCCTTTGACTATGAGCAGTTCCGCAACTTACAACTAAGAGTGACTGCGCGTGACAGCGCGGACCCACCACTCAGCAGCAATGTGTCACTGAGCCTATTTGTAACAGACCAGAACGACAATGCACCTGAGATCCTGTACCCCACCCTTCCCATTGATGGTTCCACTGGCGTGGAGCTGGCTCCCCGCTCTGCAGAGCCTGGCTACTTGGTGACCAAGGTGGTGGCAGTGGACAGAGACTCAGGCCAGAACGCCTGGCTGTCCTACCGCCTGCTCAAGGCCAGTGAGCCTGGGCTGTTCACAGTGGGGCTGCACACAGGTGAGGTGCGCACGGCGAGGGCCCTGCTGGAGAGAGACGCGCTCAAGCAGATCCTCGTGGTGGCCGTCCAGGACCACGGCCAGCCCCCTCTCTCGGCCACCGTCCCGCTCACCGTGGCTGTTGCCGACAGCATCCCTGACATCCTGGCTGACCTGGGAAGCATCAAGACTCCCGCTGACCCCAACGGTTCAGACCTCACGCTGTACCTAGTGGTGGCTGTGGCCGCGGTCTCCTGTGTCTTCCTTTCTTTCATCGTCGTGCTGCTGGCGCTCAGGCTCCGCGACAGCATCCCTGACATCCTGGCTGACCTGGGAAGCATCAAGACTCCCGCTGACCCCAACGATTCAGACCTCACGCTGTACCTAGTGGTGGCTGTGGCCGCGGTCTCCTGTGTCTTCCTTGCTTTCATCGTCGTGCTGCTGGCGCTCAGGCTCCGGCGCTGGCACTCGTCGCGCATGCGTCAGGCTGCCGGCGGTGGGTTAGTTGGCGTGCCCACCTCACACTTTGTGGGCGTGGACGGGGTGCGGGCTTTCCTGCAGACCTATTCCCACGAGGTCTCCCTCACCGCGGACTCAGGGAAGAGTCACCTAATCTTCCCTCAGCCCAACTACGCGGACACGCTCATCAGCCAGGAGAGCTGTGAGAAAAGTGATTCTTTGTTAACATCTATAGATTTTCGTGAATGTAAGGATGACGCCCCAAGTATTCAGGTAAGTTCAGGCCTTCCTTTATTTTTATTTCCACGGGGAATTGTGTTTTGTGTGAACTTTATTGTTTTGCAAAACAAGTATTTTGAAGATGTGGTTAAAATAACTTTAAAGAGGTAAAAACAAGTTTACCGGTTTATTTCAGTGGTGATACTTTAACATGTAACACGTAGGTTATGGTATCATTTCTTAAGTGAAAGCTTAGCAACAAGATTATGAATAAGTGGACCATCATATTTTTATACCCTCCACCTACTTTCCACTTGGTTTTCTTAACTCATGTATTCTAGAAAGGAGAATGAATTGTTGAGTTTTTCTCTTTGCAGTAGGTTACCAAAAGTAGAACACACCTCAAGTCTCTAGCAGAGGAGACTTGATTCTGTTTAAGATTCAAAAGTTATCTTAAGATCAAAGGTTCCTGAAGATTTTTTCAGTCTGAAGCATTTTTCAGTGACATGCTTCTGCTTTCATGTACCTCAGCTTGGTAGCCCTGAAAATCTTGGTTGCTTCCTTACCTATTTAAAACATAATCATCTATTAAAGTTGAGACAGAAAGTTAGACTGATGTCTAAAGAATGAAATGTGTGTGTCAAGCTTCACTAAGATCTATATCAAAGACAGATATGGAATCGAATGCTGCACTAAAGGTCATTGGCCAAAACCAATAAAATATGTCAAATAAAATGTCATTTCAAGTGTTATAACTGGCATTTATAAAATAGGCAGTTACATGTATTCATGCACAATTCCAATGTGCTATATTAGTGGTATGGCCATGTAAAGGAAGTGTGGCTGTGGGCTCTCCAAATGGGAGACTGGGGATCCTGGCTTTATGAAACAATGATCTCATGTACTCAAATCCTAGACCAGTACTTGATTTCATTTGTTGGGTCTGCTAAAAAAAATTCAGTTAGACTCCTAAGCTGGGGCAGTGGGGAGCCAAGGGCCTTGGCCGTGCCCCCCTCCCAACACCTGCAACCAGCCCAGCAAGAACCAAGCAGCAGCAAGAAGGGCCCCAGTTTCCTGAGCTGGAATGGAGGGGGCGAGAGCTTTTGCCACACACCCCTGACATCTGCACCCAGCCCAGCAATGACCAAGCCCCCCCCCCCCGCCTGCCCTGTGGGAATGTGTGGGGTGCCCCAGGCCTCAATCCTGCCGCTCCTCCTTTCTTCTTCTTCCATCTCATTTCCTTCCCCTTTCTCCTCTCCCCCTCCCTCCCAACTGCTCCACAACAATACCCTAGAATGTAAAATAATAGTATTAATAAAATCACGTTTTCTTTTTTAAAAAATTCAGTTAGAAATAACCCAATCTGGGATTAATTATTTCCTTATTCTTTTGTATAGCATTTCGGTAAATTTTTTTTTTTTTTTTTTTTTTTTCCTTTTT